TGTTAAAATGAAGTTTTAAACTAATACAATTCATCAAATCTATCCTCTGGAGTTTGCCTTTTTTTCTGTGGCTGGCTCACCCCATCCTGGGGGCGGGGCTGGCGCAGCATGTGGTACCAGGGATCAAACCATGGTCCCTGCTGGAGTTTGCCTAAGCTTGCTTAAGGAGGCGCTTTAGGCCACTGAGTCACCTCACAGGCCCCTGGAGTTTGTCTTTTGAATAAGAAATTCCTCTTGTTCTTAAAAAACATGTATCTTAATAGTTTTAGATTTTTTTTTAAATTTTTCATTAGAGTTTATGTAAGATGAGAAAATGATCAAATTTTACATTTTGACCAACTAACAAGTATTAATACAGCTAACACCTTAGAATTTATTAAGAGAAATTCCACATCCAAAACAAACATGGGTAAAGAAACTTTAAATTCATGGGGCCGGGGAGATAGCTCAGTAGAATAAGCATCTGCCTGGCAAGTATAAGGCCCTGAGTTCAATCCTCGGTACCAGAAAAAAAAAGAAACTTTAAATTCAAATCTTGAGTTTGTTGCTCATATAAAAATTAGAAATAATATCTAACAATAAGAAACTAATAAATTATATATTCATAAAGTGTTCTGCAATTGCAATTAAATAAGCTACAACTCTAAGGACATATCTTACAACAGATTAATAAAAAATAATTTTAAGATATCTATAGATATTTTCTCCCCAATAAATTTCTTGAAACACTAAATATGACCTTTTTTCCCCTAACTATTCTCAAACAAATTAACTCGTTTTCATTACGTTAAAGAGAAAGATAAAGTAGTTAAAAAATCTAATAGCAAATTGTTGTCAGTGGGTTTTCTTATAAACTACTTTTACTCTATGTATTTGCGTGTGTGTGGCGCTGTAGGTCATTTCATCCTTTTTCAAAGCATGTTCATATCTTGGCTTTTTTTTTTTTTTTTTTTTTTTTTTTTTTTTTTTTTTTTTTTTTTGACGAAACTGGGGATTGAACTCAGGCAGTGCTTATTCTACTGAGCTATCTCCCCAGCTCCAATAACTTGGCTTCTGTACATACATTATTCCACATTACTCCTTTCATTTTCCATTTCTTTCTCTGACCAGTGTTGAATTTTCTTTACGGTCAGGGAATTTTGAAGCTATTCAAAACTTGGTCGAAGGGCCGGCCAAATAGCTCAGATTAAAGCACCTGCAAGCAGGCACAGGGGCCAGGGGTTCAATCCCAGGCATGCTGTGCTGGCCCCACCCCTGGGGCCCACTGGGATGGCAACTGAGACTGGGTATGGTGGTGCTCGCCTGTAATTCCAGCTCTTAGGAGGCTGTAAACACGTGGATCACTATGAGTCTGATCTAATAGTGAGACCCTGAACACCCTGTAGACCCTTCCCTAAAATAAAAATTAAAAAAAAAAAACTTGCTTCAAGTTTTAATGATTACCTTATACTTTCTTAATGATTACCTCTTCTCAATTTATACTTTCTATCATGAAATGTTTAATTGTATCCCTAATTTCACAATCTCCAGAGACAGCACTGCCTTGTCCTCAAGTATGCAGCAAGTCAGAGAATAAGAAGTCATTCATTCTACCATATTCTCCCTCATATTTAGTCCAATAATCATGTCTAAATGTATTCATTTTTCTTGCTCCACTGGCATTTCAGTAGCTCACCATTGTATACCATCTCTCACCTGAACTATCAAAAATACAACAGCTCTCTCTCGTTTTCCTAATCTCTCCTTTTAAGGCTCATTTCTTCAAAGATTGTACACTATGACCCTTTGCCATTTCACTTCTTGTCATGTACAGAAATATACTTTTGTCGTCTTCAAAATGTAAATCTGAATATTTTATAGCTTCATAAATTCCTGCATTCCAGTCTCTCATCATCGCAATCACTAACAAGGTTCTATACGGTCTTTGTCTCTTTTACTACTCCCTGTTGCTCTGATACCATTAAGAGATAAAATTTCTCTTCATAGAATGCACTTCCAACCTATCCTCCATCTTCTCTCACTTGTTTTCCTAATCTCTCCTTTTAAGGCTCATTTCTTCAAAGACTGTACAAGCTATGTTAGAAACCAAAATCTTTAGTTTATAATTACAAAGCTGTGTCTTAGCCTACTTGAATTAATGTCTGTCTCTGCCACTTCACTACAGAAGGAAAGGGCACATACCACTGGCACCGATCAGAGTGCTGAGCACTTAGTTAGGACTCAGATGTAAGATGACTAAATTATTTAGGATTACAGTCCAGCACTATTTAAAAAGTAAGTACAATATGCACTAGAGCCACTAGAGGCTGACTAATCAATATAATTACATAGTATTAATCTTGAAAGAGAATTATTCAGACATTTAAAAAAAAGAAAAAGAAAACTTTATATGCCATGGATAAATTGCTTGGAAATGACCAAAATAATTGCACAATTATTAAAATTTTAGAGCTATATCCATATACCAATAAAAGTCATATTTACCTTATATCTGTGGAATGTTTATCACTGAGAAAACAAAAAAAAGATACTATTAAAACTTTCAATAAAAACTTTCATTTAGAATGTAACTTCTGATTTCTTTAAGGCTACTAAAGCCAAAAACTTATTTTTAACACTAATACTACTGAAGTACTTGCAGAAAAGCTGGTATGCCATAAATGATGTTAATGAAATATTAGTATAAATAAGGTATGAAATTCATGACTATTATTATTCAGAAGAAACATTACCTGTAAAGGTCTAGATGAATGCAAGTCTTTCCGAGTAGGAAGTTTTCCAACATTATTAATAATAAATTAGAACAAGTACAGATCAGAAATTATTAATATTCTGGTATGTGATACGTCTACATTTAATTGATAACTAAACCCTACATGTGGTAAGAGGAAAAGTACCTACTGTGAAGATGGGCCAATTGATTTGTTATGGATCCTCAATGTCACATAAACAAGTTGATGGCTATTAGATAGAAATTAGCAGGACACTCCAGGTTTATAAAGGAACTCAGTCATGAAAAGCACTTTTCCTCAAACTCCTTACAATTTTGAGTAAATACATTAAATCTATTTCAACTTGCTTTAGAACTCAGACCCTAAATTAAAGCTATTCCCTTTTAGTAGACCTGACTGACCTTAAACTCTCAGAGATCCTCCAGCCTCAGCCTCCCAAATGATGGGATTATAGGTGTGTGCCACCACATCTGGCAATATTCATAATTTTAACAGATAAAAGCAACTGAAGCTGTAGGAAACTAGGGCTTAATTTTTTTCAAGGTTTCACAATAGATAGTGCATATAATTGGGGTTTGAACTTAAGACTCTCCCTTCTGATCAGCACAATTCTCTTAGGGAACTTGAAGGGTAGTAGATTTTTTAAATTCCCCCTACAGAGATGAAAATCTATTTCTAATCATGTCCTTTCTGTGCTATTCAATAATCTTTTCTTCCTGTACTTCAAAAATTGTTTCAACTTTTAATCTATCTGGAAAATTCAATTAAAATAAGGACTAGTAGTTTCTTTTGCTAAGAAATCTGTAACAGGATGCAGTACTGACTATCTTAATTCTACTGTATTTTCCTAATACCACAGCTTTTTTCTCAAATTTTTCTTCAATATATGGCAGAGAAAATACTTAACATTAGAATGTCAGATCAGTAGTTTTACTTACAAAAAAACTTAAGTTCTTAGTACTAACAATATTGGGTAGGGGGACCTTTTTGGCAAAAACTAAATAAAATATCCCTAAATCCTTACATGAATGTAAATTTTTTTTACTGAGAAATTAAAGTCTATACTTAAATGTTGGTATACTGTCATATGTAAAGCAATAGCCTGAATTAAGGATATATGAGTCTTCTTATTTTCCCACAGATCCAAAGGAGATACTTCGGTCATACTTACTGCTATTTTGGCGCCTACCGGAAGCTGTACAGTAAGGAAATCTAGGACTTACAGAAGTGGCAAGCTTCGTGTGAAGAAAATGGAAGCTATGGGGAATATTCTAAAACTGGTAACTAAATAATTTTCTTTTACTGCTGGAGTTTGAAATCAAAGACTGAGATAAATGTTGACCTTCCAAACTTAGGGATATAGTTGTCTTGCATAATAACATTTCATAAACCTTTAGTTGAACTTTTAAAAAACCACTAAAGTCCACAATCAAACCTGGATTCTGAGCTGGGCGTGGTGGGGTACACCTGTAATCCCACCAGCACTTGGGAGGCTGAAGCAAGAGGATCACTTGGAGTTCAAGGCCAGCCGGGGCAATACAGTGTGAACTCAAGGCCAGCCTGAACTACACAGCCAGACCCTATCTCAAACAACACCCCTCCCCCCACGCCCCGCAAACAAAACAAAACAACCCACTTGATTCTGGACCGAAAAAGTCAGAAATATTGTAAGGCATTGTGAGAAAAGAACGCCTCTGGACCCGACACAAATTATGTTAATTTTTTGAATAGTGGACAGGCTCCACTACTGGAGTGTATGTATTTTATTAGTGGACCGGGCAATTAAGCTCTTTAGGCTCAAATTTACTTATTTTCCTACTGGTGAAAGAAGACTTGGGATTTTGACGAGCCCCTCTTACGCAAATTTGTACAAAATCCTACGTGTTTATTGAGCACCTAATAGCTTGCTGTCCGAGACGAACTGTCCACAGATCCCGGCAAATCCAAGCCACGGGGTCCCATTTTCTGTTCGGTCTCTCCACTCCACACCCCACACCTTTGCCGGACTAAATCCGGGAAGGGTGGGCGCCACTCCCCCGAACTGCAAGCCAGTGCTGTCACTAGGCCGCCACGGTGAGCTAGCGCGTGGCTGGCTAAGAAGGAGCCAAATTCTGACTACTCCCGGGGCCATCACTATCGGTGCGGAGAAAATGTCACCGACTAACTGCTAAGAGCGACAAAAAGCGACTAAGGAAGCAGCACGTCCGCAGACCTGAGGCCACCGTTTCGGGATCGCTGCACTTGAGCGCACTGGTCTCCAGACTTTACCTGAGGTCCGGGTCAGACCTTATCTCCGGATCGAGACCTCCTCGGGACGAAAGCAGGACCCAGCGCCTCTAGAACGCTCGGGCAAACTGAAACTCTGACTCCTCCAACGCAAGCCCACAGGTTATTCCCACCGCACCTGCACAGCAGCTCCTCAGCCGCCGAACTGCCCAACACTTCCCGGGCTGCGGATGCTCTCGCGATAACTCTCGCGCAGTCTCCTGTACCTCCAGCCAATCCTGAAAGAGTAAGAGTTGTGGGCTGGGTTTTGTATTTGAGCCTCGCCGCGGGTCTGTCACTTGGTTCGGCCTGCTCGCTGAGAGTGGGAGGGGCTGAGGCGTTCTGGGGCGGGGCGAGGGCAGGGCACGCACAGTTCTCGCGAGAGTGGAGACCAGGAAGACGCCTGCAGAGCCGGCTGCGGTGCAGCGGTAGCTGTCCGGTTGCTTGGTGCCGCTCCGGACTTTCCTATTCCCGAGCCTACTGCTGACCTCTAAGAGGGAAAGCAGGAAGTGATCTGACAGAGTGGTGCTGGTGCTCAGTGCCTGCTGCGGCCCTGGGGCATTCAGGCTGCGGCCTGTTGGATATAGTCAAGGAGGCGCCCACACTCCTGACAGGATAAGATGGCGGCGATGGCGCCTGGAGGTGGTAGCAGTGGTGGCGGCGTGAACCCGTTCCTCAGCGATTCTGATGAGGACGAGGACGAGGTAGCTGCTACCGAGGAGCGGCGGGCAGGACTTCGGCTGGGTGCCGGAGGTGGTCTAGATCCTGGCTCTGCGGGCTCGCTATCGCCCCAGGATCCGGTGGCCTTGGGGGGCTGTGCTCGGCCAGGGCTCTCTGGGGAGGCGTCCGCAGCTACGATCTCCCTGGGGGTTACAGGTGAGACCCCAGCCCGCTTGTCAATTGATGCGATCGCGGCTCAGCTGTTGCGGGATCAATATTTGCTGACTGCCTTGGAGCTGCACACAGAGCTGTTAGAGAGCGGCCGCGAGCTGCCTCGGCTGCGCGACTACTTCTCCAATCCTGGCAACTTCGAGAGACAGAGTGGGACCCCGCCGGGGATGGGAGCGCCGGGGGTACCCGGAGCAGCAGGCGTTGGCGGCGCTGGAGGTCGGGAACCGAGCACAACGTCGGGCGGGGGCCAGCTCAGTAAGTGAACGCAGCTTATCTCGCTCCTGGGGGTTGTTGGAACGTTTCAGGGTGGGCAGTGAATATGGGAGCACTTTAGGGAAGGGAGAGAATTAGAGATACGGTGATTTTTATAGTGAAAGCAGAAGGATCCTGCAGTGACTGCTTGCTTCTAGTCTTTGGCTGCTCTTGGCTCCTCTGCTGGTGTTGGTACGGTATCTACATAACAAGAGTTTCCAATTTACTGGCTATTACGACACTCTTGAAGCCTCCCTTGTAAATTCACTTATTGCTGTGAGCCTTTCCCTTTTTCTCTAATCTGTATCTGACTATCGGGAAATGTTTTTCAAATTGCCCACAGTAGTTTTTGTTTTTTTTTTGTTTTTTTTTTTTTT